GAGGCACAATGGCAAGGGCCATACAAAGTTCTACATCGTCATGGTAAAGTGAACTATGAAATACAAATATCCAAAACCAAGACCAAGACATATCATATTAATCTTCTGAGAAAATATCATGATAGAGATAACTACTGTTTCATCCTTACTGAAGAAGATGACAGTGATTCGGAAGACAGCATGACTAATGCATTTACAAATCTACATACTACTGATGTGGAAGACAGAGATACAGAAACGAAGAAGTTCAAGTACAAAATGAATCCAGAGATGACAGATGACCAAAGAAGTCAATTTGATGCTCTTCTGACTTGCTATGAAGATGTTTTAACTAACCATCCAGGCAGAACAGATCTTATCAAGCATCACGTAGACACAGGCGATGAAAAGTCATGCAGACAACCAAATTACAGAATTCCACAAAGTCAGCTGAAAGTAGTCAAAGAAGAAATAGATTACATGCTGAAAGAAGGATTTATAGAACCATCCAAGAGTGAGTGGATATCAAACATTGTAATGATTCCTAAGAAGGACAAAACAATGAGGCTGTGTATTGATTTTCGCTATTTGAACTCAGTTTCACGGTTTGACCACTACTTGATGCCTAGAATTGATGACATTCTAGATAAATTGCCCAAAGCAAAATGGATAACAGTCTGTGACTTAAGTAGAGGTTTCTGGCAAATTCCTCTCACAGAAGACAGCAAAGAAAAGTGTGCATTTCGGACCCCATGGGGAATATACCAATTTGCAGTAATGCCATTTGGACTTCATGGTGCTCCAGCAACATTCCAACGTATGGTTGATGAACTGATTAGAGGTGCTGAAGAATACATAGCAGCCTACATGGATGACATTTTGATCTTTAGTGAATCATTTGAATGTCATGTTGTTCATGTAGAAGAATTAATGAGAAGACTACGGAAGCATCACTTGACAGTAAAACCTTCAAAGTGCCAGTTTGCCTTTCATGAGGTTGTTTACTGCGGACACATGGTAGGAGGAGGCAAGGTTACTCCTAAGCCTAGTGCAATTGAAGCTATTGAAAGATTCAGCAGACCTGATACAAAGTCTTTATTGAAGACTTTCCTAGGCATGACGGGCTACTACCGAAGATTCGTGGATGACTATGCAACAAAATCATATCCACTTACAGAACTCACAAAAAGACAAATACCAAAGAATATACCATGGGATGATAAGGCTGAACAGTCTTACCATTTGTTGAAGAAGGAATTGTGTGAGTACCCAGTGTTGAGATGTCCTGTATTCGAACTACCATTCCTACTACAAACTGATGCATCCGATTATGGGATAAGTGGCATTCTTTCCCAAGTATTTGGTGATGGTGAGCATCCAGTGATGTATTTAAGTAGAAAAATGATGCCCAGAGAGATGAATTACTCAGTGATAGAAAAGGAGTGTCTAGCCATGAAATGGGCAATAGAGCAGTTGAACTACTACTTACTAGGCAGAGAGTTTGTTGTAATGACAGACCACAACCCACTTGTATGGCTTAAGACCATGAAGAATACAAATCCTAGACTTATGAGATGGGCACTAGGATTGCAACAATATAGATTCAAAATAATACACAGACCCGGAAGTGCAAATAAGAATGCAGATGCATTATCAAGGCTATGAATGACTAAAATAAAACAATAACAAGTGACAAGTGAATATCATAACAATGACTTAAAGAGTCAGAATTGAAAGTGACAATAAGTGACGTGTAAATAAGTAATTATATGATTTTAATTTTTAAAGGAAAAATCATCCTTACGTCATGTATAGTTGGAAAGGAGAATTTATCCTTAAAGATGAGACACACAGTTTCAATATGTGACTATTTTTATAAAGAAAAAAAAAGAAGTAAAAACAGTCAAAAGAAAGGGGAAGATGTGATAAACAAGTGATGTATATAAGTTAGCATTTTGTATAACATATAGATGGCGAACAATTATTTGAGAAATAATTCAATAGAGCCAATAATAAGCCAGATAATTACCTATGAATGGAAAAGAGGCAGTTCACATTTTGAGAAGCCAGGGAAAAGACTGAAAAACACACTGAGCTATAATGTAATACTATAAGGAGTCGTGCGTAGGAGATCTTCAAAGGGGCCCCTCGTACAGAGTAATCGGCATCGACTAAGGTACGGTAGCGAGAACAAGTTTACACGTGCAAATATCAATATCACCTCGTAGATAAAAATGATATTCTTCAAAATCATGGGATATCCTATAAATATTCATTGAGAACCTAAATGATGGCTCTGGAATATTTCAGACAAACATTATTGAAAATAAAAAAGGAAGATGTAGAACATGCTCTGAAAGATTCAATGCTAACAGACTAAAACAAACAATGAAATGGAATCAGACCAAATCTAGGGATGTACCAGCAAAAATTCATCGTTGTATAAATAAAAAAGCACAAATATTTTTTCTTTGAGAACAAAAGCGTGATAATGTGTAATGTTGCTACATTCGCGCTCCATGAGAAATACGCATTAAATTACAGAATAATGACTTGATTGTTAAACTAAGCGTGATTAATTCCATGCCATAAGCCAAATACCACGAGAAATATTTGGTGAATCTGTAAAATCGAGTACGAGAAATGGAAATGCAAGATATCATTGAAAGTAAAACAAGTGAAATTAATGGATATGATTGAGTATGTGGAAGACCTATGACGCCATGCTGAAACCTCAGTAATAAAATAAGTGAATAACCCCATGGTTCAAAGAAGACATATGTCTATAATGTAAATCTGTATTGAGAAGACATCGTCACTGATTGGTCAAATCGACAGATAAATGACATCATTCAATGGCGGATGTTATGTTTATTCGGCGTGTTAATTAATATGACAGTTTATTATTTTACATCAATATAAAGAAAGATAAAGGAATATGCGAACATCAATTAAAACATCACAACGACGTGTTCTCTTCGTAAACTAGCCGGTGAAAATTCTGACAAACGAAGTTGGTAAGCAAGAGGCATAATTATGTACGAAAACAATATCTGAAGAGTTGTGCTAACTAGAGAGAAAATACTTATATACCATATACTAAGGTTATAGGTACATAACGAGCGGGAATATAGTGTATCTAGTAGCGATCGCCAAGGTCCGGGATCGTGATAGATACACGCTGTATCGGTCCCTCGGGAGATACACATATTTCCCTTTGGATAAAATATGTATCCAAAACCTCCCAGTACATAACCGTTATGTACACTCTACAAGATTCAAGAGCAGAATTTTGTCATACGTAATTACACTAGACTTCTATCACGAGGTTCAGGGCAACAGTCCGTGAAGATATAGGTGCTGCATTCAAAGCACTGTCAGGTATTCTGATAAAAGTGCAAAAATAACTTCAGCTGCAAAGATAATTTGTGAGGAGATACAAAAATAACAAACTTCTTGGAACATTTTCCTATTGTTTCTGAATCATTAGGCCTACTGTCTGTTCAGAACATCATTATATACGGCAAGCTATAGCTCTGGTGATCCGCTCGATTACGCTGGTTCGTTTCGGTAACAAAATGTCGGAACGTCGAAGGTAAGATTTTTCTTTTTTTCCTTATTTCACGCGTTGTAGGTAGAATCCCAACGATATTTATTCTCACAAACGTGTATCAGTATCATATGTTATAGAAAATGCACATGTTTGCGAAAAATAGCTCAGAAGACAACAGAATCGTCGATTTAATTCGTCACAGTTACATAAACGGTATGGGCTAAAAGTGCAGATCTTTAAAACTGTTTTTCGAAAAACCGTTTATGTAACTTAAGTGAGGAATTAAATCGACGATTTTGTTGTCTTGTGAACTATGTGTTCGCAAATATGTTCATTTTCTTTAAACATATGATACTGATATACGTTTGTGATAAAAAATGTCGTGGGAATTCTGCCTATAACATGTGAAATAAGAAAGAAAAAAAAATCGTACTTTCGATGTTCCGACATTTTGTTACCGAAACTAACCGTTTCGGTAACCAGCGTAATCGAGTGGATCACCAGGCCAATTTGATACGTTTTAAATACAAAGAAAAGTAGAAAGATGTCATCATCATATCACTGCAAAGAAAGCATAAATATTAATTATATCTTTAGTTGATATTTTGTTCGAAATATACGAGAGCTTGTCCAAAAGGAAATTGCTACACAGTGAAACCTATATATCTGAACACCTCTCTAATCCGAACAACTCTCAATGTGAACACTTTCCCTCGGTCCCAAATTTGTTATCTCCTATTGACTTAGATTTGTTATATTCATATATTAAATATAATTGTAAATATGTGGACTCCATTATGTAGATAGACATCATATGATTCATCAGGAACATTCGCCAGGAAGCAGATCTGTCCAAATTAAAGAGTCGAAGTGATATTCATTTTTTCGTAAAATCGCAGCATTTATCTGTTTGAGACTTGATTGTTAGAAACAATTTGACGGATGGTGTAATGTAAGAGGGGGAGAAACCCCAGGGTTCAAAGATGACATACGCTTATAATGTAAATCTGTATTGAGATGACATTGTCGCTGATTGGTTTAGCGAGTCGATCGTTGATTGGTTTAAAACTAGGTCAATTTGAAAACCAAGATGGAGGGTACGTTTTCGACAAAAGGAGGTGCGCGAAGGAGGAAATCGTATGTCATCAATTGAATCATGGGGTTTTCCCTCCTCTTGTGTAATGTAATACCGGGTTATTACTATAATAAATGGAGTAGTGGCAACAAATTGATACAAATATTGTCTATCTGCGTGCATACATTTAAAAGCAAGTTTTACTCTCAACTGGTCCATGCAAATAATTCACCATACTCTCTTTTGTTTTTCAATTTTTAATGACATCAAATGCCTTTTTTGTTTCCGTGTGTTTTGTGCTGCTTTTTTGTATACATTACATTGAGTAAAGAAATATTTTCATTTTTTAATCATTTATTTCATATGTTAAGTTTATCGTTTACAATACATGTTGTCGCTCATGTTTAATGTTTTAATAGTTTCAAGAAGATTTCCGTTCATATCACCCATATCCTTTGTTCACATTTGCTACTACTTGCAATTGTTGTCAACTTTTGAGCACTTTTTGTCCAATTGAGTTCAAGCAGATGTAAAGAGTAAGTTTTTTTAACTAACAAGTTATACAACCACATTTAGTCCGAGGAGTTGTTATTTTATTTCAGCAGCAAGGTCCGATGTGAAGGATGATCCGGGTAATGATACTATTACCACGATGCAGATTCCAGGTCTCATTTAAACAGTGTTTATCCATCGGACGATACTTTCTAAATGCATTAAATGCTATACTTAAAGTAACTTCTCTACCAACTCACTAAGTTTGATATCTTGTAGTTCAAGCGTCTGCCATTCATTATCCTTCACCTTCAGGAGTATGCGAACTTCATCGGAATTATGCATTGAGGGATTATCACTAGGGCACCCAGTGTATTTAACACTGGTTTTGGAACCTTGCCTCGATATCGACTCTCCATTTTTTCGCAGACCACTAGGCTTTACAAAAGTCAAAACTGCTTCCTTTTCTAACACATTAATCGATTCATTAGCACCAACACTAGCTGGAATAACTTTAGATTCGTAGGCATTAACACTCACATTTCGTTTGTACTTCACTACGAGTTGATCTGATGACCGTGAAAACGAAGGATTACTCATTCCTGTTATATTAGCGAAATGTGCTGCTCTTCCTTTTACGTCAACGCAAGAGTAGAACGATTTTAAGGAACGTCGTAAATGGCGACGAATGCGGGGATGTAACATGCCGTAGAGGAGTGGATTGTAGATTGCCGACGCTTTGGCAAATATACTAGGAATAGCGGCGGTAGAGGGACCGATCACCTGGTGGTATCCTGTGATCGACATAAGACAAACCAAAGCGTACGGGAGCCACGCCAGGCAGAATAAGAAAACAGCTGCAATTGAAATTTTGAGAACTTTGAGTTCTTTCTCTCGAGCTTTTAAGATTGCATTTAATCGCCTCTTTTTTGTTCTTTCCTTTACAGATTGAATTCTTCCAGAGCAATGCATTGATCTTGTTGAACTTGATCTGTGATATTTGACAGAGTTTGATCTTATACTGTCCGTTCTGATACTGCGCATTTGCATTGATACTTGTCCCATTTCTTTGTTGTGTTTTCCTAAATACCGCATAATCTTTGTATAGTTATACACGATAATGAGGAGGGGTAAGAAGAAACCTCCTGCATATACAGTAGCTATATATGCTATATTGGCTGGGCTCTGGGTGAGGTAGTCAAATGTGCAACTGACGCCATAGCCATCCAAGATATATTTGCTCCAACCTATAAGCGGGGGCAAAGCCAGAGTAATTGAATATAGCCAAACGAGGACAATAACTTGAATGTACCTCTCGCCATTGTTCTTTCTGTAGTTGATAAATGGCTTTGTCAAGACTTGAACTCTCTCCCACGCCATTGCCGCGAGAGTATTAATGCACATGTAGCCCATGCTAGCCATTGTAAATGCATAAGCCCTGCAACCTGAAACAACAAAATTCAATCAAAATCAAAGCTTTCACTTGAATAACACGTGATTTCAAAGAGGCTCAAAATCCAAAGCTATATCTATTGTACTTATATTAGAGTAGGGCGAATATGTACACTCCCCTCCATAAGTTTGGCAACCTTTTTTCCCCATTGAACTACGTGTTAAAGCCTCTTTACGTTTGGATTTTTATTTACTTAACCGGCGATGAAATAACTTATAATATTGATTGAAACGTAACTTGACTTTATTTCCAATACCTCCAAATTTTCTCAATTTTTTTCCTCAATTACAATAGGTCGAAAATTGATGATAAATTTGATGAATTTTCGAAAATCGTCATTCCCATGTAATCCAATTGGAAATGGAGGGTTCGGGGCAAATCAGAAATCAGGACATGTTTTCAGTAAAAGATTCAGCAAAAAATATTTTTATATAGAAAATTGAATTGTCTAACTTTTTTTAACACCAAGTGTTTAGTTTATTTGATGAATATTAAAGTAACAGCGCTTCAAAGTCATTCTTGAAAATAATTTTTCTCCTCCTGTGTTATTTCAATGGGAGAGGTTTTTTGAAAAACAAAGCCTCTGGTCATGATGGCGTGACATATGAACATGTAAAATATGGAGGGGAAATTGTTTTTAAGATTATTTCTGAATTGTTAAATGCCATTATAAGAATTGAAAAGGTTCCAGATTCTCATAAACTGGCCATAATGCTATCAGTCTATAAGGGTAAAGGTAAGCCACAGTTGAAGAAAACCAGTTATAGATGTCTTTCTTTAACACCAATAATAAATAAGCTATGGGACAAAACAGTGTTAAAACGGACCAAATCCTGGTTTGAATCGCGCAACATACCAAACAAATTACAATTTGCTTACTCAGAAGGGAGTGGTAGCCAGATGGCTACATTTGTTTTAAAAGAATCTGTCACTCATTATACTGAAAGAGGCTCTAAAGTGTATGCAGCGTTTCTTGATAATAAAGTTGCCGATGATACTACCATTTTGTCACCCACTGTAGATGGCTTACAGAGCCTACTTAATGTTGTCTTTGATTTTAGCCAAAAGTGGCGTCTTGTGTATCATGCTGGGTCTAGCAACAAAAGTTCAGTTATTGTTTTTAATAGTAATGAAGGACCCACGGTCCTGTGCTCACACAGTTTGGAACCTTCAGAGGAATGTATATCCTGACTTTCAAACAAAAATATTGATTTGGATTTGTAGTGTCGAACTTTGAGAAACTTAGATAGCATAGTTGTGTGACCTAGTTTGATGACCTTTGACCTTGAAAATCTTACTTATTAAGAGCTCAAGAAGGTATTTTGTGATTAAGCTGACCAAAATTAACATCCAAAAATCAATTTGAAAAATCAACTTTTTTGACATTTCAAAGGTCACTGAAGGTCAAGTAAAGGTCAAATCCTAAAACTAATGTCAGATTTGAACTCCTGGCAACTTGTAGATGATTTTCAAAAAGAAATTTGGTCAAATTGAAGCAAGTTGAAAAATAACTTATTTTTACTGTTTTTTGACAACAAATATCTCAAAAACGGTAAAAAATTGATGCTGACATTGAGCAATATGTAGGGAATGCTTAAATCTAGTAATGATGTAATTTATTGCAGGAAATGATCAAGCATAAGGCAAACTTTAAGAAACTTGTCAATCACAAAACCTGCCATTGACTTTATACATGAGAAAGTTTCCTGAAAATGACTAAGTCCTACTTTTTGTCAAATTTTATAGAGTAAACACCAAAAACCGTAATTTCAAGAGCTTTGAAATCTTCAGGGGACATAAGTTGCATATACAGCAACTAGTAAAAGTTATTTGAAAGTTCTACTTCAACAAAGTGTCTAGTATTTACAGAAAATTTGACTTTTCGACGTCGAAATCCGCAATTTCTCGAAAACCGGGCGAACTTGGGAAATGGCGATAATAGGTCAAATAGGCATTATGGATATGCATAAAATGAATGTGGATATGACTCAATCCGAATAGCAGTTTTAATTTGTGCGGCCAATGTTGACGGACGGACGGACGGACGGACCAACGGACGGACGCCTGGTCAATCACATAGGCTCACTGTGTGAGCCAAAAACAATGTGCCCGAAATGCTACAAAACACATTTAGATTAGGTCAAGAAGCAATACCTGTTGTCAATCAAGTGACTTATGTTGGAAATACGTTGAACACAAAGCTTACGCCAAATGATGCTGTCCATATATCTTGTGTTAAGACAAAACAAATCTTCAACTCATTGTGTGGAATTGGTATACGACATGGTGGTTTGAATCCTATTTGTTCTGTCAACATATGGAATAAAGTAATACTTCCTTCAGCATTCTATGGGTGTGAGCTTTGGGATAATATCATCAAATCTCAAAAGCTAGAAATTGAGAGAGTCCAGAGATATTTTGCCAAGCGTGCTCAGGGCCTTCCATGGAAAACACCATCAGTTGCAGCTATCGGGGCGCTTGGCCTAATAACAATGGAACAATATATTGAAAAAACAAAGCTCTTATTTTTAAACAGACTGATTAATTCATCTGAAAAATCTGTGCAGAGACATATATTCATATCAAGAATTAGCAGTTATATTGTGAGGATGTCATGTTCAAGGAAATCTGATGGTTTCATTCCAGATATTCAAAACATTTTGAGTAAATACCCGTATTTATTGAAAGACTTTGAAAGGTTTATCAGTCATGGCCAAAAAGTACCCAAAAATATGTGGAAATTTAGAATTAAATGTAACATCCAAGAGTTGGCAAATCAGTTGTATCAAAGTCAGGTTCACGAAGATGTTCGGCTCAAAAGATTTGCAAATATCCACACACAATTAGAACCGAGTATACATTATGTGCTAGGAAAACAATACCCAGCTTTATTGTGGCCTTTGGCAAGTCTTCTTCAACTTGCACTAATTGAAGATCACTTAGTCACTGTTAAATGTACATTATGCAAGGGTGAATACAGAGATGTAACAAAACATGCCCTTTTGGAATGTTCAGGACTAATGATTGAACGAGATCGTCTTTTTGACAATATTACGAATGCATTAGACGTGAGCACATCTTGTCAATTTTTAAATGGCGATGAAGAAGTTTTAGTTGAAACTCTCCTAGGTTCAAATACTGACATTCAGTTAAATGAAAATGTATGTGAACAAATAATCATCTTGGTAGCAAAGTATGCATGCGGTAAAACATAATTCAAATTACTAATGTAAATATATCTGTTTTGTAAATAATTGTTTGTAAATAACTGCTTGTATAATTATTTGAAAAAGCTTTTCTTCGAGAAGGAAATAAAGATAAACAAACAAACATACCAACGGTGAAGGTGCTTTATGAAAATATTTACATATTGAGATACAATTTCCACCTTTTATCAAAATAGTATGCACACAAGGTGCCAACTACGATCGTTAAATTGAATTTTAGACCTACCAGATGTTTGAAAAGCAAGGATTGTGAGTCTCATACTGCACCGTTTTTCTTCAAACTTGTTCCATTAAAAGCAAAACAAAAATGCCTTTCTGTTGGTACATTATACTTTTATATAGAAGTGTGAGAAGCTCTTCTCTCAGCTGGGTACCCAAGCGCCGCTAAACGAGGGACTCTGTACAATAAAGCAATGCACCGACAGAAAGGCATTTTTGTTTTCCTTTGAAATAAACAAATTTGAAGAAAAACGTTGCAGTATGAGACTCACAATCCTTGATTATCGAACATCGATCGCACCACCACAATAAAAATGACACCATTGGAGAGAAGAGGAAAAAAGCTCTAAAATGCTTTTTATTTGAAGCGTCTAGCTCAATTTTGAAGGAAAACTTTGCATCAATTTTTGTAAAATTCGAGACAAATCTTCATTTGTTCTATTTCGGTAACAATGACCGTTTAATCTGTACACACATATATTTTTTGTTCAAAGAATGACTTTTATGAATTCTTAAAGGCCCTATTTAAACTTTAAACCACTTTAGCTTATATTGTTGTCTTACCCAATTTTATCAAAATGTGATATGTGAAATTTTGAAATACTTTTTGTTCGAAAAATTGTGAATTTATTTAACATTAAATTCCAGAGGTCACACATATATATTTTAATACGCAATACCACACGCCAATGCATAGGATTCATCCTCACGTGTATTATTTTGTCGAAAAAATGGTTGATAAAAAGCGAAAAAAAACTCATCCATGCACGAACGTGGTTCAGAGAAAAATGCATTTGAATTAAAATTTTAGTTCACATAAAAACCAATTGTAAATATTAATATTTAAAAAAAATACATTCTTCTTTTTTCTTCTTTTCAAGCTACTCAGACAATCAACCTTGATTTACTTTTGGCGTATTTAGAAAAGATTGAGATAGAGATTAAAAAAATAAATAAAAACAATTTTGCCGCCTTAGTGATGTTACGATGATGCCACTTAGGGTGCACATACGGTAATATGCTAGAACAGTGGCACATTTTATTAGTCAAATAGTGTGTCCGATCCTTTGTTCAATCTTTGCAATGGTGTTAAAACAAGATATTTATGTTTTGTACTGTAAAGTGGAATATTTGCTGATTAATAGATTTAGCCTAAACTTTTATTTGAAAATGTCAATAAATTCGAATATTTAAGAGATGACAACTTTTTTCAATGTTATGATTGATAATGGACCATGTACCTTTGTATACAAAGGGTAGATGAATTTACAATGTTTTATATAAAAATCAGTTCAAGTGAAGGGCTAAGCCTTTAAACCTTGTCTTACCTAATGGGCCGTATAACCACGAGCCGTGGAATGATGAGACGGTAAGGGCAGAGCTGCACAGGGAAATAACTAGACAGGCGAAGCACAAATTGAAGATCAGCATATGGGCCGTCGTTTTCAGCATTTTGTACCTTAAATAAAGAACAAATACTAATATTAGCAATAATATAATTGTAATACTTTATTTAAGCAAATGGAAGTTCAATCTTAAATGAATACATGGACATGTAGACATAAATAAACAGATAAATACAGCAAGATATCCACTCACTTAATGCTCAACCGGTATAATCAAACAATTATAAAGAGAGACGTGTTTCTGACTAAGAGAATCCATATTTAGTATTAAAAGAACGGTTTCCGGTAGAATGAATGCGATCTCGACTTGGCTTTATCGAGTGCAATTTAAGACGAGGCCTCTAGCTTTTACCAAAACAATTTTAGAAAAATGTTTTGTCGAGAATGTATTTGAACAATGTAGCCTAATTAAGCACTTAACATTGTCAGGAAGTTATTGTTAGTCTGACGCCCACCCTTCACGTCTTTTGGACCCTGTTTTGCCCTTTGCTTAATTAGCTTCACTAACAACATCCAATAATTAAATAATTGGAGATTGTTTAAGTTTATCTAGGTTATCGTGCCCAAATTTTCGGGGTTCATGAAAAAGAGATTGGCATACACTGGGGGTTTAATTGAAAATATACAGTTGTTAGCTTAATATTCAATGCAACAATTTCACTTTGTTTTTCAATTGTTTTAAAGGTGCAACAATTAGTGCAGAGGGGCCATTCAACGATCATGGACCGGTGTCAAAATATATTTAAGTTTGGATATTTCATCAAGACTTACATCAATTCTTATCATCTACAAAGAAACCCCCTTGATCAACATTATTTTAGCTGATATTCCTCTTGAAACATGGTGGATCTAAAAAACATAAAAGTGGATTTCCCCTTTCGAAGCTTTGCACTGAATTTACACTTCTTAATGCTGAAATTGATAGTTTGTCCATACATTCTAAGAAAATAGGTATGTCAAGAAGATGCTAAGCCAAATGTTGCCTTAATAGCTCAGAAAAAGTTTAAATGTTCCTATTTTCTCTCTGCCCCTTTAAAAAATTCTTCTATCGACAGCGATTTATTTGATGTCAAATGAAAGTACAATCAAGAATCACCAACTGAACTTGCTGCGAAACATAAATGTAAAAACACTAATTCAGAATGATCTGCCACTCTACGTGTCAAATATGTGTTTAGCCATGGCGAAATGAAGATTAGGTGATGTAATTTTCGTGAACTGGTGGATAAATAAAGATTCAAAACAGTTCCGCGAAGTTTTGTGATATGCCTCCAAATATTTTCTGGAATAGAGCGTCACATGCAAAAAATATTGACCGCATTTCTAAAATAAAGGTAAAGAAACAAACAAATATATAGATATTAATTTACAAATAATTGATGCCATCATGGAAATAGATATAAAGCTTACAAAAACCTGCAGTGTAATAATTAGAAAGATCGATCATCCAAAACTAGGTAATGCTTGAAGCAGATATGATCAAGATATCAATGTTAAATTTTACACATACCTAATCATTGTGACGAGTACAACTGTATTTGCAACTAGTCCAATGATTGATATGACAGTTATACAGAATCCATACACCAGCGTGCTTCCCCTATCTGCACGATCCACTGAGTCCCAATGAGGATGCTTATGTGAATCATAATCTATGAAAGACTCTGTAAAGAAATCCATCTGAATACCATTCGTTAAATTCATTATGTCCAAAGTGTTCTATTGGAATGTTCTTGTAATTCGGTTACTTTAAAATTCCTGTTTCAAGCGATGGGCCCCTATGTTCTGTACGTGTTTGTAACAGTGCCATAATGTTTCATTGCAGATCTCGTTGCTAAACGCAAGCTTTTAAATTGCGTCGTGGTGTGTACATACGTTTTTGCATGCCAATATAATAATGCTGTTGCATCTCCGACACTTGATGCTCAGGAATGCATATCATGCGCGGGCGCTGCTTTTTATACTACGATAGGAACTGAGAGTAATGATAAACAATATACAGAGTGTGCGAAAATAATAGTAAACATATATATGTGTGTTAATAAATTAGTTGAACGTAATTTTTTAAATTATTATTAGTATTATTTTACATGATAAATATATTATAATACGTATGTTTATACCATGGTCACTATTATATGGCATCAGATGTATAACGTATTTTGATAAATATTGTATACATTTTTTGTTATATACCTCATATACATCCCGTATACGTCCCGTGCACATCTCGCATATATTGTATTATATCATATTATATTATATTGTATTTTGGAAGTAATTTTTTTGAAATAAATTTATGAATATGATTTCAAGTAAGTAAATACAGTTTTAGATTGTTTCTGTTGCCCAGTGCATCAATCCATTGGTGCTAAATGGTGTAATAGTTCCCATCATTGTGGTCAAGGTATCATGTATCCATTCAAGCTATTTTTTTTATTTACAAGGGTCGTTCGAAAAGTTTGGCAAAGTATCACCTATCTTACATTAATATCTGAAATTTCAGGACCATACGCCATATACTTCTTGAGATACATTGAACCAATGGTCTCATGGTCCATATGACGTCATTAAATTGAATTGATTTTGTGAATGCCTTGAAAGGCTGAAATTTCTCGGTCAATCTGTGTTCTTTGAATAGTTAGTCAGGTTATGTTATTATTGACTTATAATCAATCAAAATATGGAGTTCTTACGTAGTCTTCCATAGCAGGAATGCATTGAAACCATGTCTGAACCCTCCTACCTGGAGGATGTCAAGCCTTCTAATAACTAAAGCTTCCTTCAATACATTTCCCTTTGTCTAATTCAATCTTGGAATACATAGCAATGCCTATAGGAGTCATCGTATGCAATGTCTTAATGCATGATTGATTTTAACTTGTGTAATTCTGTTTTCCCATTCTTTAACATGAATTCTATCAAAGTTTTCTGCCTCAACTTTATTATTTTGAGTAGTATTCTCCTATTTTCATAAATTGATATATGAATAAGATTGGTTCATTACTTTTATAATTAGATATATTTGTCCAAAACCTTTTGAACAGCCCTTGTACAATTACAAAAAATGTGGGAATATTCTCGAGGGACCAATTGTAACATATCATCCCAAAAGATAAACCTGATATACAATTCCTCTTACCTCTATGTACGTGTATGTATATACTGTAGGTTCCCGATATACAATTCCTCTTACCTCTATGTATGTATACACTGTAGGTTTTTTAGTTATATTTTGTGAAATACGTAATCATGATACATATATATTTGATATTTTTGTCCCACCCTGTATTTTATCGATTCCATCTCACGTGTTCCGTTCGTTCACGTGCAGGATGTTAAGGTTAATTTATGATTGATAAATAAAGCTATAAAGAGGCAAATAACTGCACTGGAAACAAATTAATGTCAACCACATGGAATTTCAAACGCAAAAACGCTAATTATTGGCGCGATTGATGCTCCTCCTAATCATTGATCAATTTACCGCCTCCGATGATTTAAACCACCTATTGCAATGAAATCATTGTGAATTAGGCTTCTCACGGACTTGTCAAGAACAATACGCTAAACAATTTGCAAGTATCAACATGCTTAATTCAAATGACACAACTCATCAGAATCATCCGAAAATGTCTAGTACAAGACCACATAGCCAGGCTTGTATCTTTTCCTGGCGTGGAATTCTCAACTTTTACACCGCATTAACTTTCAGTTTCTAACGCCCTCCTCCCTCCATCACACAGGAACCATTTTAATTATCACGATTCACAATTCACAAGCACGAACACGGGGTGTTTCACCGCGATTACTCAGTGTACTTATTTATATTTTATTGGATGGAGACTAGTCTAAATGATGTGGGAGTAGATAAAACCAATGGTATTACACGAGTGTCAAAGGTTAACATACAAATAAATAAACCGACGTGAAATAAATAAATTAATAAATGAATAGGCAGATTTACAGATAATTGATATACATTATGGAAATAGATATAAAAAATACAAAAACTTGCAATTATGATAATCGGAAAGATCGAACATCCAAAATCATGCTCAGCAAATATGATTAAGATGTCAATGTTTTTGCACGTACCTAATCATTGTGACGAGTACAACTGTATTTGATATGACAGTTATACAGAATCCATACACCAGTTTGCTTCCCCTACTTGCACGATCCACTGAGTACCAATGAGGATGCTTATGTGAATCATAATTTAGGAAAGTAGAGGTCGCAACGGTAATGAAAACCAGTACCGGTAACCGTCACGCCAATAACCGTACCGTTACCGAAATACCGGTAAAAAGATGTCAGATAAAATGCCAATGCGCTGCCAACCCCACTTTGTTTCTAACTCTCTCCGTAGCTTCTCAAGTCTATATGCATACATGGTGCAAGACCGATTTGAACCCATACTGATGAACTTCACGACATAGTATAATATATGTAACTATCTTACGAATCAAGATGTATTTTTAGTTTTAAATCAAATGTATTACACATTTCCAACCATTTCGCAACTGTATCAATTATTAGCTAGTGATGTGCAGCATACATGGGGGTGGGGTAGGTAAAATAATTGGACAGCTATTTGTCATCATCATCCAAGTTTATTGACTGTCTTGAGTTCATCATGCGTCATCCGTGTCAAGTGAACGTCAGTTCAGTGCAGCTGGCAACACCATCACTTCCAAACGGGTACGACTTCACCCTGAGGTTGTCAATGCCTTGTTGTTCGTAAATGACTATTACAAACATAATTCAGTTTCTGGATCTGGCGTTGTCACTACAACTACACCGGAACTGCCAAACATAACTACAACCAAATCTGAGCCTGACATGAAGCTACTACACCAGAACTGCCAAACATGGAAATCACACCTGAACTGCCAAACATGGAAATCACACCTGAACTGCCAAACATGGAAATCACACTTGAACTGCCAAACATGGACATCTAAATGTCTATGTAAATGTACGCATCGTGAAAGTGGAAATTTAACGAAATAATTAAAAAACGACGTGTCTTTTATTTCCCCGGGGATTATCATCGGTTAACCGGTTAATAATTTCAATACCGGTAAATCCTCAATTCCGTACCGAAACCGTATAACCGGAATTACCGTCAGCCTCTATAGGAAAGACTGTGTACAGAAATCTAGCCTTATCAAAATATTCTCAAAGTAAATACACATAAACACCTTTTGTTCCACGCCTCTTATTTGGCCAATATTTGTCATAGACAACTTTTGATTTGCATATATACGAGGGTTGATCATAAAGTTCTCATAATATCTCTCTAATTTCTTTATTTTTCAACAATTTTCTATGAAATTTCCACAGAATGTGCAGCATGGAATGGTTTATTAATCCAGCAAACAATATTTAGAATAACACAAACATTAAATAAGAAATGGTTGCCATAGTAACTTGAAATCAAGGCACCCGGGGCAAATAAAAAAACTAGCTAGAATAGCCCCCATTAACCATGTTTAAATACATAATAAGTTGTCAAATAAGCTATCAAAGAAATTAAATTGTCAAATAATATGTGCTCTTGACTGTTGTGAACTATTATAATGGTCATGTGAATTGTGTGATTGCATAATGGATGATTGTTATGCTTCATTAGAAGTGACTTTTAGACCCCATGACTGTTTTGTCAAATATCCTGAGGAAAATTGATTTTGCCCCTTTAGTTCATTTTTAACATGTACAAACCACACACAGGGTGTAATTTTGTTGATATCTTAGCAATATATTTGTTTTAGATCATGTTTAGTCTGACCAAAGGATCTTACAAACTTAACATAACATTTTATCAGTATGAATTTTATTTTTCTGAAGATCTCTGCATCTATTGCATTCTCTTACTCAGTCATCTCTGATCATCAGCTTTGAGTGTCAGACTCTGGTATCACATCTAATGAAGCATGAAATCATCCCCTATGACATCACCTAATTTACACGATCGATTTATTTAATTGTTAAAGCACTTTACAACATATTCAAGTTAACATTTTAACGTGTTTGGTAATTCATGAGAGTTTATTATGTATGTAAACATGGTTAATTAAGCTCATTCTCTTAATTATTTTTATTTGCCCCGGGTGCCTTGATTTCCCGCTACTATGGCAACCGTTTCTTATTTAATATTTCTGTTAAACTAAATATTTTTTGCTGAATTAATAAGACATTCTATGCTGTACATTCTGTGAAAATTTCATTGGAATATATTGAAAAATAAAGAAATTAGAGAGATATTATGAGAACTTTATGATCAACCCTCGTATATATATATATCTCAGACCGTTCTTTTACCAACCCCTAATAGACGAGGAGTGAAAATGAGAATTTGAGGAGATTAATAGTTCAGAGTATATAAGGACGTGTCATACCTTAATCTCTTCGTTTATATATGCCTTCAGTGAAAATATATATATTTTAAATCATAATGAGGGCCAATGATGTTTTAGACGCCCGTTTCCATGGCAACCGAATTTCACCACTGTTAATGAAGACTATTTCTATTATTAGAGATATCTCTGTCATTTTTTTATCCGATTTTGATGATATTAACGCCAAATGAAAGCTTAAGGAAGAAAGTTTATGATTGGTTCAAAATTATGCAAATTAGCTCATTTGCATATCAACTGTGACGTCATAACCCAATTTGTTGTTCAATAATGGATGGGTTT